TATCATTATTTATTTATTTTAATTAGTTATCTAATTATAATTTTTTTATTTTTTTAAAATATTATAAATAAATATAAATATTATCCTTAAATTTTTAATACGGTAATTTTCAAGAGTCGACGTCTATCCATCGAACGGCTCGGAGCAGCTGATGCATATAATCTCCGTAAAAAAAAAAAAAGCAACTCCTTAGAGACAAAAGGCGCGTTTCTATGTCTTCACTCTCCCAAAAATGTTGGTAACGCACGCGCCACCTCGCTGGATAAAACCTCTTGCATTGGAGGGGATTCTTTCTTCGTTATCTCCACGCACCGTGTCTCCCCGACTAACTCCGGCCATCAAATTTCCCAACTCCCACTATCGCCGGAAGTCGTGCCGTACAATTGCTATGGCAGCACCGAAAGTCGATTCATCGGGCGAGTCATTGCCCAAACACGCCGCCGGAAGTGGTACTCAGTACAAGATCTCCGTCTCCGAGATCACCGTTTCACTGTTCCTCTGAATTACAGAGATCCCGCTACTTCCTTAAAGATCTCCATTTTCGCTCGGGAAGTCGTTGCTGGTACGGGGCCACCTCCTGCGATCAAATTAAATTTGAATTATTTCTGTTAAATCACTGTTTAATGTTGAAATATAACGAATTATGTTTTCTTTTCTCGAATTGGTCCCAGAATGTCGAAGTAGAAGTGCTAAAGTCAACCTAGCTTTATTTTTCCTTTTTCCAGGACATGTTAAGTTTTTCATTTTCCTAGTCCTTGGAAGTTGGAAATAATTGGATTCTTAAGTGTACTTGGATGCTGACTGGTCTATTCTGTTAATGCCGTTAGTATTTTTTCCAAAAAAAAAAAAATCCATATGAGTCTACTAAAGAGGAATCTGAATTGAGGATTTTCAGCATATGAAATTAGAAGAGTGGTAGTATATGTGCTGATTAATGTAGAATTGTTTTGCAGTTGGTAAAGAAGATCAACCACTGCCATACCTTCTGTTTCTGCAAGGTGGACCAGGTTTTGAATCCCCGAGACCAGCCGAAGGCAATGGATGGATACTTAAAGCTTGTGAGGAATTTCGTGTTATATTAATGGATCAGATATGGTTTCCTTTAAGCTTATTTGATGAAATGCAGTGCTTGTGCTTGTTGTTATTGAGGGTTGATGATTTTTTTTTTTTTTTCTTGCAGAGAGGAACAGGATTATCAACTCAGCTGACAACATCGTCTATGCTGCAATTTAATTCTGCCCGGGATTTGGCTGATCACTTGAAACATTTTCGTGCTGACAGTATAGTCAATGATGCTGAGTTTATCCGTGTTCGTCTTGTTCCTGGTTCTGGACCTTGGACAGTTTTGGGCCAGGTATTAAAATTACCATTCAATTTTGACATTTTTGTTTGTGCATTTCACCATTTCATATGACTATGAGTAGCGTCTAGTGATGATCAATTAATCTGTATGCATGCTGTGAGTGTATGACATTTTGTGTTTTTACTTCTTTCTCACTCTTTCTGGCAGAGCTATGGAGGTTTTTGTGCTGTCACCTATTTGAGTTTTGCACCACAAGGATTGAAACAAGTGCTTCTGACTGGAGGAATACCTCCAATTGGAGGTGGATGCACTGCAGATACTGTTTATGGAGCTTGCTTTGAGCAGGTGGCTCGTCAGAATGAAAAGTACTACAAGAGGTATCCTCAGGATATTGAAGTTGTTTGTGAAGTTGTAAACCATTTGGCAGAATCTGAAGGGGGTGGGGTGAGGCTTGTCTGCATTTGATCCTGGTTCTTTACTCAAAGCTGATATTTTAGCTAAATCTTTTTAATGTAAACTTCTTTTTGTGCAGGTTCCTCTTCCATCTGGGGGCATCTTGACCCCAATGGGGCTGCGACTTCTTGGTCTTTCTGGTTTAGGATCTAGTGCAGGTTTTGAACACCTTCATTATCTGTAAGCATCATAATTATGCACCTTTTTTTTATTTTCTTCTAAAAGCTCAGATTTCAGTGTTATGTCAACGCATCCACATCTTTTTGTAATCTCTTAAAAACAACTGTAGGTTTGAGAGGTTCTGGGATCCTGTAATAGTCCCAGGAGCACCTAAGAAGATTAGTTTCTACTTCTTGAATGCTGTAAGGTACTTTTTAGTTTCTTATTTATATTTTGGAAATTCAAGTCACATTCTCGGAATTAATGTTGATTCATTTTGTTTGAACAGTTTGACAGTTGATTGGGTTTTGATTCAAACCCACTCTATGCTCTTATCCACGAGTCAATTTGCTGTCAGGATGATTTTGCTGTTTATTCTATTCCATTTGCTTGATGAGTGACATTTTGCTGCACAGGTTACCTTTAAAAAGGAAGGAAAAAAAATCAATATGTGGTTGAACAGGTTTTACTGTGGCCAAATCCAAACAATAACATTAGGACTCTTATCTCTGTTGCAATATTCCACTTCCATGCATATATGATTTGATTTTTGAGTTATTGGTCGTTTCTGAATTCTATAAAGGGTGCTTCATCTCGGTGGTCTGCTTAACGACTGAGGGCTAAATATGAGAACAAATTTGATGCAATCAAGGCTGCAGGTGAAAGACGCCCTGTACTTTTTACAAGGGAGGTAAGACCATTGTGTTTTATTGATTGCAATTTTGCAACTGCAGCATTTACATGCAAGAATCAGTGTCTGTTTGACATAGATCTGAGAAAGCCAACTAGCCTTCTGAACAAACCTGCTGCGGTAGCACCACGACAAGTGCCTGAGTGTCTAAGAGAAAATATACAACCAAGTGATGAACTGGTTATGGCAGCCAATGCCATACCACTCAGTGACATGGTGAGTTTTTCCCATTTCTGTGATGATCCTTCAAAAACATCAAAGGAGAAGCTGTGATGACATCAACAAAACATTCAAGAAGCTTTCAAAAAAATGAAAGAATTAAGAAGACTAGAAAAAAAAAAGGGATTAACTACTTTCCCATTTTCCATTATACTTTAACTGAGTCTTGATTATTTAATGCAGGCCCAGACTAACAGGAGTGGTGAGTGCACAGAGCAAAATGAGAAAGAAAAAGCTAGAACTGGGACGTTATAAAACGAAATGAAGCTAGCAGAAGAACAATGAGAAATACCACAAATAGAACTTAGCCTTACAGTAAATTGAGATTGCCTACAAACTCAAGTGCTTGACCTTATTGAAACAGTTTTGGGTATTAAACACATGCCTGGTTTTGTAGGTTGTTTGGTAACAGTGTATATCACTCAGTCGTATAAACTGGGTTCAATCTTTTCCTCTCAAAAATTGCCCTTGATAAAAAAAAAAAAGTTTTGGGTATTAAACAAATAAAACTTTCAGTAAATTGGGGCTTTTTTACACTTTTGATATTGTTTAAATTTTCTGAATGAAACGATTTATATTCTTGATAAATAAATTATCATACAATTTTAAATCATGATTCAGTTATTTAAAAATTTTAACTAAAGAAAACAGTTACAGAAATACATAGATGCAGAAGCAAACTTGAAAATCACAGCCATTAGAGCATGATTTTAAGTAGTAGGTGTAACATCATATCAGGACAAATCATGAAAGAAACGACATAGGTAAATTAAACAAATTTAACGTTAAGAAAATTGTTGAAGAATTTTATCCTAACTTTCAAATTTCAAATTTTAGTTGGTTGCTTCCTTTTAATCCTTTTAATTTACTCATTCCATTGACTCTATGTTCATTAAAGCTGTTTAATATGGTTTTGATTTTAGGTTTTGAGTTTTTATTATATATATAGTAATAATTATTACATTCAAAAATCACAATTTATCATAAAAATTTGAATTTATTAAATTAAATTTAAATATAATATTAGTTATTAAATATATAAAAAAATTAAAATTAAAAATTAAAATAATATAAATTAAAATTTAATTTGATAATTTTATATAATAAATAAATAAATAAAATTTATCTAAAGAAAATATTTAATATATATAATATGAAAAAAATTAAGTCTCATAGATTTTTTTGGTCCTCACAGTGTGAGATTGCAAGTGAAAACATTATCGGTCAAAACAAACTATTTTAGATTTTCAATATATCGACCTGACACAAGCCATTAATATTGACAATAATGAAAACAGGTAAATATATGGCAAAACCATAAGTTCAGCCCCTGAACTAATCCCAGAATCGCTATTAAGCCCTTAGACTTTAATTGATGCAGTTAAGCCCTTGAACTCTGGGATCAAAGCAATTAAGCCCTTCTTCTTACGCCAACTTAACTGCCGTTTGGGATTGCTCGCCTGATTTAACTGCCGTTGAAGAGACACCCCGCTTGGCTGCTTGGATGGCAAAATATTGCCATGTCATGCTTACATGGCAAGGGATTTAACATTTGACCTGAATTTTTTACTTATTTGATAATTTAATTTTTTTATTTAAATAAAATATAAATAAAATAAAATCATAAATTTGAGTGAAAATATTATTTATATAAAATTTTAAAATTTTTTTTTTGAACAAGGTTACAAATATGGGGGAGGGGAGAATCGAATCCCAGCTCTCGGGTTAAGGGGATGCACTTTACAAGCCAACTTATGGCCGTTAGGCCGTGAGATCCAGGTGCATATAAAATCTTAAATTTAAATTTAATAAATTAAGTAATAGACATTAAAATTTTTTTTTATATAATTTATTGTGATTTGATTTTAAATTAGTT